GTGGTTTTATATTATAATGATGATTGAAACATTGAGATGTTTTCTTTATATCCACAAATGGATCTCAAGCTTTACATATTTTGCTAGGAGAACATGGATTAAGAAAATCTCCAGACTAATCTATATAGATATCTTCATGTAACGCTCTAAATTTTCAAATAATATTTTCATTTTTAAAATCACATAAAACCCAATATCACATTTCTCAAAAACCACAAATGTAAAAGTTGTCAAAACACAAGTCAACAATTGTTTGATAATATCCCAGAATCCTCAAAAACATAAACTCTAACTCATGTGTACAATCAAGTCGGCGGCTTCCCACGATCCTGAGAAGTACCTGAAACACATATCACACAACACTTTAAGAAGGAAGCTTAGTGAGTTCCCCAAAATACCACATACACAAATAATAAGCCTCTCATGGCTATAGCTCGACATGGACCCTCCGGTCATGCGTCTCGGTGAGGACCCTCCGGTCTTACGGCTCGATATGGACCCTCCGTACATGTGTCTCAGTGAAGACCCTCCGGTCTCACAGCTCGGGTTGGACCCTCCGGTCTCACAACTCGGTTTGGACCCTCCGGTCCTAACTCAGTAAGGCACGGAATATATATAGCATAAATTACAAAGACAAAATGCATAATATCACATAACTCAGTATAAGCACATAAGACCCTCTAGTCAGTAACTCAAATAAGACCCTCTGGTCACACAGTATTACCATTCAGGTAAGTATAGTGAGAAGACTCACCTCGTAAGCAAAGCAAGTATGTCTCGTACTCAACGATCGGTCTTGACTCCGCGTACATATCAAAATCGTCTCTAATTAACACTTTGTAATAGCCACTCTAAGGATATTAAGCTAACCCCTTTACAAACTCTTGGAAAGGGTGAAAAGACCATTTTACCCCTCCATGGTCTCCATATCCATCACTTGACCAACCCTAAAAGTCAACGGAAGTCAACACTCGAGTCAACAATCCATGTTGACCCACCTTGTCGAGTGCACCTATGCGACTCGTCGAGTTCCTCCTGTTCTCTGAAAATCGGGAAAACTCCAACTCAACTCGCCAAGTTGTCTCATCAACTCGTCGAGTTTGCACGTGTCCAGACTATTAGGGAAAACGCTAACCGACTCCTCGGGTTAGCTCATGGACTCGTCGAGTCCCTCTAGTCCATTTCTCATTCAGACGATTCTAAGCAGAACTAAAGTCCCAAACTCTAGATCTAGCCTCCCAAGGTTGAAATACCACGTAAAGCTACAAGCTTTACGTCCATGCATGGCACCTAGGGTTCAAAATATCAAAACAAAGCTCTATAGAAGGTTTAATGTTTGGAACTTGGCTAATAGCTTGATAAAGCTTGGATCTTTATGCTCAAGGGACCTCATACATTCCAGATCTGAAGTTTCAACTTCATGTCATGCTCAAATGACTCAAAGGCTCAAAAGGAAGATGGAAATGGCCACAAACTTCCTAAAGAAGAGATCTAACCAAACAATGATCAAGGTGATAGCTTTTTACCTCTAGTTAGCAGCTAGTACTGAAGGAACACTGGATCTAAGGCCTTCTTCTCGTTCCAAGCCTTTTTCTCTTCTATCTCCTTCCAAGAATGCACCAAATCACACACTTTTTGCCTCTTTCTCTCTCTCTCTCTCTCTCTCTCTCTCACAGATGATACCAGCTCGTTTAGGGTTTCTCTCGGGGTGTTAAAGTGATAAGGGAGGCGGAAATGAAGGCTTAAGGTCCTTTAAATAGGGTACAAACCCTAAAAATTAGGGTTTTCTCACTCATCACCTACTCGTCGAGTAGAATCTAAAAGTCACACGGGTATCTCCACCTCTACTCGGCGAGTTGGGGCCTCCAACTCGTCGAGTTGCCCTGAAAAAATGAATATAATATAGTTAAATGTTATACTTGGGAGTCGGGGTGTTACAATTCTCCCCCACTAGAGTCAGACTTCGCCCTCGAAGTCATTTTTATGGAAATAACTCTGGGTACTGCTCCCACATCTCGGACTCCGGCTCCCAAGTCCACTCGGATCCCTACCGATGTTGCCACTGAACCTGAACCAAGGGAACCTCTTTATTCCTCAAGACCTTCACTTTCTTATCCAAAATCACCACCGGCTTCACAATGTATTTTAGGCGATCATCAATCTGAATGTCCTTTAAAGGGACCACTGCCGTCTCATCAGCTACACACTTCCTTAGCTGGGACACATGGAAGGTGTTATGAATCTGACTCAACTCTGCAGGCAACTCTAATCGATAATCTACCTTACCCACTCAAGCTTTAACTCTGAAAGTACCGATATATCTAGGGCCCAGCTTTCCCCGTTTCGGAATCAGATCACCCCTTTCCATTGGGATACCTTCAGGAGAACATAATCTCCAACCTGGAACTCTAGCTCTAAACGTTCTGGTCTGCGTAACTCTTCTGACGACTCTGGGTTGTCCGTAACCTCTGTCTGACCTACTGAATCTGCTCTGTTGTCTTGAGCACTATCTCAGTGCTCCCCATCACTCTCTGCCCTACCTTTCCCGAGCAGATGGAAGTCCGACACCTCCTTCCGTATAAAAGCTCAAAGGGAGGCATACCGATACTGGAGTGATGACTATTTTTGTATGAAAACTCAGCCAAGGGCAAGTAAGTATCCCAACTTCCACCGAAGTCCATAACACATGCGCGTAGCATGTCCTCGAGCGTCTGAATCGTCCGCTCGCTCTGCCCGTCTGTCTGTGGGTGGTAAGCGGTGCTGAAATGCCACTGGGTACCCAACTCCTCATGAAATATCTTCCAGAACCTGGAAGTAAAACACACATCCTGATCTGACACTATTGATGTTGGCACCCCATGCCGTGCTACCACATCTCGAACGTAGATCTCGGCCAATTTCTCCGCAGAAGCACTTATAGCCAGGAAGTGAGCACTCTTCGTCAACCGATCTACAATCACCCATATCGCATCAACACCTCGCGTAGTCCTCGGTAACTTGGTAATAAGATCCATGGAAATCTGCTCCCACTTCCATAGAGGAACCTACAAAGGCTACAACTTGCCATGAGGACGCTGGTGCTCTGCCTTGACCTGGCGACAGGTCAAGCATCTCTCGACTACCCATGCCACATCTCTCTTCATACAAGGCCACCAATAATCCATTCTCAAGTCCAGATACATCTTAGTGGCCCCAGAGTGAAAAGAAAACCTCGACTTATGGGCCTCCTCCATCAAAGTCTGTCGAGCTCCACCCAAATATGGCACCCATATCTGCCCATGATAGGTCTTAAGCCCACGACTATCAGTCTCAAACTCAGAAATCTGCCCTATCACCCACTGTCTCTTATGGTTCTCTGGTCTCATGGCCACCGCTTTGGCCTCTCGGATGGTATCTAAGACTGGATTCATCACCGTCATCCTCATGCACACGTCTCGGATCTGAGCACTCGCTGCTCTACGACTCAGGGCATCGGCGACCATATTAGCCTTGCCATGATGATACAAAATCTCACAGTCATAGTCTCTCACTACATCCAACCACCTCCGCTTTCTCATATTGAGGTTGGGCTGATCCATAAGGTACTTCAGGCTCTTATGGTCTTTGTATATGGTACATCGGACACCATAAAGGTAGTGGTGCCAAATATTGAGGGTGAATACCACCGCCCCAACTTCAAATCATGGGTGGGATATCTCGTCTCGTGAGGCTTCATCTGCCTCGATGTATATGCTATCACGTGCCCCCTCTGCATCAACACGGCACCCAACCCGGAAATGGATGCATCACAGTAGACTATGAAGCCCTCTACTCCCTCCGGAAGGGCTAACACTGGAGCTTCGCACAATCTCTGGCGAAGAGTCTCAAATGAGGCCTGATGCTCAGTCCCCCAGACAAAAGTAACACCCTTCCTGGTTAACCTGGTGAGAGGAACGGCAATCTTGGAGAAATCTCTGATAAACCTCTCATAGTAACCTGCCAAACCCAGAAAACTCCTGATTTCGGATGGGGATCTCGACACCTCCCATCGCATAACTGCCTCAATCTTGGCCGGGTCAACAAAAATCTCATTTTGGTTAACAAGGTGTCCCAAGAACTGGACCTCTCGTAACCAAAAATCACACTTGGAGAATTTGGCATAAAGCCTCTCCATCCTCAATACTCCAAGAATCTCTCGCAGGTGCTCCTCTTGTTGTTCCCTAGACCTTGAGTACACCAAAATGTCGTCGATGAACACGATCACCGACCTATCCAACATGGGTCTGCACACCCGGTTCATGAGGTCCATAAACGCTGCAGGTGCATTGGTGAGCCCAAAAGGCATCACCACAAACTCGTAGTGCCCATAACGAGTTCGGAAAGCTGTCTTCTGAATATCCTCCTCACAGACTCTCATATGATGTTACCCAGATCTCAAATCAATCTTGGAAAACCAAGACGCCCCCTGCAACTAATCAAACAAATCGTCGATCCTCGGTAATGGATAACAGTTCTTGATCGTCAGCTTGTTCAACTCCCAGTAATAGATGTACATCCAGTGTGAACCATCCTTATTCTTGACAAAAAGTATCGGTGCTCCCCACAGTGAGATACTCGGTCTAATAAAACCCTTCCCTAGCAGCTAGGACAACTCCTGCATCTCAGGTGGCGCAAGGCAATAAGGTGCCTTGGCGATAGGCGCCGCCCCCGGAATCAGTCGATCCGGAACTCCACCTGTCTCTCAGGAGGCACACCCGGCAATTCCTCGGGGAAAACATCTGGGGACTCACATACTAATGGAACATCGGAAATAGAACTCGGCCTCTCAGTAGTAACTCATGTATCCATCACGTACGCTAAAAACCCCATGCATCCCTGTTGTAAACTCTGCCTCGCCCTGGCGGAAGAGCAGAAAGCTGATTCCGATCTAGTTCCCTCTCCATACATAGTAAGTACTCCCCCACTAGGGTCTCGTATGGTCACCATCTGCCGCTCACAGTCAATCAGGGCTCCAAACCGGTTCAACCAATCCATACCCACTATGACACAGACATCACCCATCGCTATCGGCACCAGATTTATCAAAAACTTAACACCAAAAATCTCTAAAACACACCCTCGGAATACATCAGTGGCAAAAACTGCATGCTCATCGATTATAGAAACCCTCAGTGGTCGACTCAATGCCTCATGTCTAACACTAATGTGACGACTAAAGGATAAAGACACGAAAGATCGACTGGCACCCGAGTCAAATAACAGAAAAGTAGGCACAAAAATCACAATAAAAGTACCTATATGCAGCACAGTGTAAGCATAAAAATCTTAAAAGAACATAAATAAGGAGATACGTACCAGCAACAACATCAGGTGTTGTGCGAAACTCCTCCATAGTCAGCTGGAATGCTCTCCTACGAGTTTTCGGAGCCTCGGCCTTCCCCGGCCGACCATCAGTAACACGTAAAGCAGCAGGAGCAGAAGCCTGGGATGATCCCTGAGTGAGTTGAGGACACTTGGCCTTCCGCTGGCAGTCTGGTTGCAATGAAAGCAAACCGAAAATCCCTTGGGGCAGTCCCTCGCCATGTGCCCCTCCTTGCCACATTTGTAGCAAATCCCTGCTCAGCAATATCCCTCATGGATCTTGCCGCAATTTCCACAAGTGCAGCCCTTCTGGCCTCCTGCTCTCGAATCAGCGGGCTTAGACTGCTTCGTTGCCGACCGCGAGTGCGCTGGTCTCCTATCTCTCCCCTGAGACTCTCCCTCCTCTCTGATCTGAATCTCCAACTCAATCTCTATCCTCCTGGAATTGGTCTGCAACTCAGCCAATGTCAGATATGATGAGTTCGCCACGAACTCTCAAATATCTCTCCTCAAGATTCTCAAATACCGGCTCACACGTTCCTGCTCAGTTGACACGTGCTCAGGGCAGAACAGTGCCCTCTTATGAAACATCCTCATAATCTCTGTCACTGATTATGTCTTCTGATTGAGAGACAGAAACTCATGTACCAAACGTTCCCTATCCACCTGGGGAACATACTCATCTCTGAACAACTTGGTAAACCTCTCCCAAGTCACTACAGCATGATCTGCAGGGGTAAAATCAGTCGTCACGAACTTCCACCAGTTCTTCACTCCCAAGCGAAGCAGGTTCAGTGCGAACCGAACTCTCAAGTGCTCCAGACATGAACACGTATAGAAACACCCCTCAATGTCAGAGATCCATCTCATGGCCGCAATCGGGTCCTAGGTCCCGTCAAACTCTGGTGGCTTCGTGTTGCTGAACTCTCGGAACAACAACGAGTCACCTCCTTTGCGGTGGCTGCAGCAACAGCAGCCTCCGTGACAGCAACATATCACTCATCGAATGTCTCAATCAACGTGGTCTTAATAGACCCGAACATCTCTGGTATAGCCTCTCTGATAGTTGCGGCCACCTCCTCATGAATGATCCTGCGGATCTCCTCGTCACTGATACCACTGCTCCCGGGGTTGTTGTCGGTAATCACCATAGTGTCTCTAAAACACAACACGAAAATCATCAGAGACTAGCTCAAGCACTCACGCCATTGTTTGCTAACTAGTATTTTATTGTAGGCTTAATGCTTTGCAAACAATATTGCATGTATAATTAGAGAAAACATAGATCCAAAGTATTTAGGGTTGTATGTACACCATAGGATGTTGTAGTATACTAAAACCGAACAGTGGTATGCCTAGGGTTGTTTTCTGTTATATTTGATGCATGGCTTAATTTTCAAAGTTGAAAAATCGTTTTTTCTGCATTCTTACTGGTGAACTTGTCGAGTCCACTAGGTGACTCGACGAGTCCAATCAGAAATGGACCAACTCGACGAGTCCAGTTCATGTACTCGCCGAGTTGGTGCTCCAATGTGCAGAATTTTGAGTTTTGGCCAGAAATTGGATTAGGATCATTACCCAAAACTGTTTTTTGAACCATGAAATCTGTTTTTTCATAAGGTAATGATCATGCTTGTCCAATTAAAAGATAATTGTCATAATTTCAAGATTTGTATTAGTTTATATGATTAGGCTAATTTCTTGAAGATTGATGATATAAATTATCTTGTTCTTATGAGTTTAACTAGATCATGTATGTATTATTTGATTATTGTGCTAATTAAAGTAACGATCTAAATGATTTTAATGAAATCCATAAGTTGTCCTCAAGTTATGGAAAATGAAAAGTCTCATTTTTAATAGTCATCTTAAATGGTTTTAAAGTCTTCCATAACTTGTCCTCAAGTTATGGAACTTGAAAAGTTTTTCATAAAAGCCACATTAAACTCATAAGTTATGCAAAACCAAAAGTTTTGACGAGTTTCAAAACTTTCCCTCAAGTTTTGGAATTTGTAAAGTCTCACATTTGAATACTTTAATTCCAAACCCTAGAGTTTTGAAAGTTAAAATTCAACCCTTATACTATTATATTATTATAAGTTTAATAATTATATATATATATATATATATATATATATATATATATATGTATAAGACAAGTCAGTCTTACTGTTAGTAGGCCTCATTCACGAAGCCGGACTATAAGGGGGTATAAGGTTACTGCCTATAAAATGGCAGTTTAATGGGTGTTCTCTCTCCCCCACCGCTTCCTTCACTCGTGGAGGGTCGTTAGCCGAACGGGTAGGACAGGACATTAATTTTCATTATAAGTATAATGATAATTATAAAGTAACTAAACTTTTATTAAATTCCCAATCTTAGTTACTTTAGGAAAATGTGAATATGGTGCTATCCCATGAAATTGCACTTTGCACCTTGTTAAGTCATTAGTGGAGCGTGTGTGGTTAACCGGCACACTAATTTGGGACTGACAGTGTGTGGCAAAGGGTAACTTAATGTTAATCATAGATCAATGGAGCGTGTGTGGTTAACTGGAACATTGATTAGGTGATTTGTAACATTGGGTGTACCAAGCTAATTTGCATGGTTATTCACACCTTGTTTGTGATCCTCGGTATCCCAGTTACAAACTTGAAGGGCACAATCGAGATTTAAACATGCCATTGAAAAGTTCAATGAATCTTAAGGTGTCTAGGAATTTCACTCCAATTAAAACTTAATAATCAATTTCGTTTTTCATGGTGGAAATTGGTAAATCGTCATTTACCTACCTTCAAATATTTTGCAATTTAATTACGGCATCCCTCTTCCGAATTGTAAAATATTGTGTTGGGTCCTATCCTTAATATTTCATTTGAGTGTTATATTAAGCACTTAAATCAACTAACTTGAATTTCTCCCTTGTAGATGTCTAGTTCAGACAACTATGGTCTTCCCAAATCTTTTGGAAAAAGCTTTCCACATGAAGATTATATTCCACAATATCATACTTCACTTCCTCCACCTCCTCCAATAATTATCCCTGACCCACAAGTTGGAAGACTTGAAAAGTTCAAGGTCACTCAAGCCTTATTGGCTAGCAAACACCAAGATGGAAGGTCCGTGTGTGTACATGTCTTGGATATGAAGTCACACATTGACATGCTGGAAATGTTGGGTGTCGTCTTCCCGAGGAAGTTGGATGTTGACTGGGTTCTTCAGTCACTTCCCGAGTCGTATAGTCAGCTTGTTAAAGACTACTATATGACAGATCACGACATGACCCTTATCGATCTTAAATATTTGCTTATTGCTGCTGAATCAGCAATGATTTGGCGTAATGGTCAAGCAAATTTGATTGGAGGATCTACTTCCCAAGATGCCATGGACATAGGCAATGACATAGATAGTCCAGAAAAGATCCCTTCTCCTATGGGAAGGGAATTGGCTATGGTCAAAAGATTTGACCATAAGAGAAAAGCCAGTTCTGAGATAATTCCTTGTGCAAATGCCAAAGAGTCCACTTGTTTCTACTGCTATTTGAAGGGACATTGGAAGCGAAGCTGCCCTGACTACCTGAAGTATCTAAGAGAAGGTAAAATCAAAAAGGTTTGACTCTACTTCAGGTAAGTCCACTATCTAACTCTATTAAGTTCCTAATTGTTGATTCTTAATACATGATGTGACAAGGTTGCATTTTGATGATTTGTAGGATCAAAGAAACAAAAGGAAACTTAAAGGAAGAGTAAGTTGATTCTGATCGTGAAGAGATGGATTTCAATCGCATGGTTCGATGATCAGAATTTTGAGATGCTGCTTAAGAGTTATGATATATTGCTTAGGAATAGATAACAACATAGTTTCATATGTATTTGCATTGTAAGGATAAGTTTTCTGTAATTTTTAAAAAAAAAGAAAATTTTTGAAATTTATTTTATTTTAAGTTTCCTTACAATGGCATTTGTGAAAATTGTTGCTTATATGTTTCCATTTATAGCAATATTTGGAAAATGGATTTGATTCTTTTATTTGTGGTAGTGTCATAATTTACCAAATAAGGAAAGATTCTCATCACCCAAGTTTCAGTTGGATAGAAACTTGGAATCATGCAACTTGTATTGTGTGATGAATGAGAACTTATTCTTTGGGAAATTAAGACTAATTCTTTGTTCACATGTATATGTGAGTCAAGTGAAGGACTAGGGGATCGGGTACACTTGATTGTATGCTGGTCAGGTCCACCACAAAGAACGATAAGACTATTAATCATGATTTACTAAAGTTTAGTAAATATGGTTATGCTTACAAGTTTAAGTATAATTTTGAACATTGGAAAAGTTTCAATGTATGGCAGGACGAATAAGAAGAATCAAATTAGGCAGAAAGATAAAAGTTTCTCCAATCTGAAATGATGGGAGAGTACTTGAGTATCATGTTTTATGATTATCTTAGTGATTATGATACCATATCACAATTGATCCTCTAAGGACATCTTAGTGCATTTGTATGGCTAAGAAGAGGAATCGTGAATTGTTGAAATTGTTAAATCAAAAAATGAATCACACTTCGTTTCAAAATCAAGTGTTAGGGTCGTACTCCAAGATTGTAAAGTGAGTGACATATCTTAAGGAAGGTTTGTAACACTCATCAAATGTAGAGTAAAATATTTCTACTCTTGTACATTTGAAATTGGTAAGTTGTGATGTTTTGGATAAAACAAAGACCAACTAAGGCCAATTGTGTGAAGTGTTTGTCTTGATAAGAAACCGCACTAACTCTTGAATATTTGTTTGTCAAGTAATGTTCCTTGACAAAGTGAATCTTATATGTCAAGAGGACAGTGGGAGTCTTAAGGATCTTGAATAGCTTCAAGAATTAATCAAGAGTAAACCTATTGTTAATCACTAGCACACGAATTGAGATTTGTAACCTATCGTGTTGACGTATTCTCGTTTCTGTGCCCATTACAGTTAAAGTTGACTATGAATGTGAGTTCTATGAGTTCTCAATTGTTTTCATAACAACTTGGAAACAATGGTAGGCACTTGTGCTGCCAAGTGGCAAGAAATTAAAATTGAACAAGTTCAGTCCATATGGGTTTGGATTTGTCACTAACCTTGTCTTGTGATTATGGTTATGGAAAATTCACATGGACAAGAACACATACACCATAAAAATCTAAGTGTCATAAGGTTTCTCTCCAATTCATGAAAATGATTGTGAGGAAACGCTTTCACTATG